GGCATTTATAAATGTATGAATCATATGGTGAAAAACTGACTTTGAAAAATAAATCTGTTCTTTTTTTCTTATAAAAGACTAAATAAAACAAAAATATTGGTGGTAATTTCTGACTGTGTAACTTTACAAACGGTACTCCATAAGAATGTGGTCTTTTTTTTGGTGGCAACTTTTTTTTTTGGCCAAGCAATGTAGATTCAAATTAAAATGGAAACTTGTGTTTTTGTGGCTGCTAACAAAGAGCCTAAAGACCTCCTGACTAAGCTGTTATGTTGACACAACACTTCTCCATCCTTTTAGTTCAGGAGCCTTTTTCTGTCTGAATGATTCAGAAGTCAGAGCTAAGTGATTCAACAAACAAAAACATACGGCTGGAATGGTCAAGTAATAAGCTGAAACAAGATGAAAAGCAGCCAGTGTGTTATGAAATAACCTGAAAGACTTTTAGAAAGCCTTGAGATTTGCTGCTTATGACTACTTCAAAATATAACGAGATTTTCTGGCTCTTTGAAAGCAAAATCTCAAGAAACAAGGGATGACTAAAGACTTTGGACAGTGTTGCACATGCAAAGTGGGGGTGAAGATATGTCCTTTAAAGTCAAGAAAGCAAAACCTTCCATTATGCACATCAGTTGCAAGAAAAGTTCAGCAGCACAAGAGCTTGTGAATCATTGAAGACCCTTCCTAAAATCTCAACACTAACAACTGTTGAAGAAAGCCGTGCAGAGGATGCATCTGCTCCGGAGAGAAGTGAACTTTCTCCCTCCATCCTCATCATCTTTACCAGGATACTGTGAGGAGCCTCCTGACAAGCTGTATTTCATCTTAGTGCAGCGGCTGTGGTGCATTTCACAGGAAGAGGCTGCAATTAGTGGTGAGGATGGATGGAGGAGTCACTGAAGTCTCAGTCTTCTCCTCTGAGACCAAAGAGAGATGCAAGAGGAAAGCTCTCAGCAGAGACACACCACTCTCTGGAAGGAGAAATCCCTTCACAAAACCAGGAATCACAACACTGCTTTATTCATGAGGAAATAAGTACATAATATTAAACTTCTGCACAACTATCACTTTGTTCAGTTTGTTGCTGTTTTATTCACCAAACGTCTGTGTTTCTGAGGAAATATATGGTTGTTGAGCAAATCAAACATTTCAATGAAGAACCTGTCCAGAGGAACTCAATTTTTTTTTTACCTCCGCCAAGGGCGAGGTAATGTTTTCGGTCACGTATGTCTGTCTGTCTGTGGACAACATTACTCAAAAACTTGTGGACAGATTGTCATGACATTTTTATCACATGTGGGTGCTGGACTAAATAACACACTTTTAAATTTTGGTGATGTTCCGGATCACGATGCGGATACAGGAATTTTTTTTTCTTTTAACACTCTGAGATCGGCAAAGCTGTGATGCTTTCACAGGGCGTAGGTTTCAAAGTGTCCAGCAGGTGGCACTGTAGTATTGGTGTGCCCCTTTGTAACTCTTATATGATGGGGGAAACTGGTCTTGGCAGAGGTTTGCGCTCTCCGAGTGCTTCCAGTTTGTTATTATTATTTATTAATAATACAAGTAAAACTTACACATTGTCTGGTAAATGTTACTAAGTACATATATAAAGATTTCTGAATAAATCATGTAAATTTTACTTAACCAATCTAAATCTTGTTACATATATTTGATCAAATTTTTCATAGCAAATTATTGATTACACAAAATATTAAGTAAATATTTTAACTTTTTGTTATTAAAAATTATTTATTTGTACTTAGATTAGTTACTTTAAAAAATTAGTAAATCATACTTAATGTTTTTGGTAAATACTACTAGATGTAGAAAAAGTTCAGTCATCATGGCAGCTCCAGGAGACTGACTTTTACATCTTTAAACTATTTACTAACACAATCGAAATTTAGCTGACAAAAGGTAGACAGATTATTAAGTACCAAATGGCAAACACCATTCCTGTAAAAAAATTATTACTTGGCTCACAAAATGGGAGTAAAATTAGAAATGTCACAGGGTAAAAAAAACACAATTTATTTGAATGGCAGAAACAGAAAGTGAGACAACACTAAACAAAACATCGCACAGATGTGTAAAACTAATCAAATGGTATGACCAGTACCTGCTGCCTATAAGAACAAATAATGTAGTAGTCAAGTAATATCTAAATATAAATAAATAATAAACAAATATGTTTCTTTAAATCTGTAAAACATTCATGTCCGTTTTTGCTTTTGAACCAATCATCTCTGTTAACTAAACAAATTATTTTCTTCTAGATTTGTTTTGGACCATATAT